AATTCAGATTTAGGCTTGCACTTTTAGCAAATTTCTAATTAAGCCATGAAACCTAATTAGGGATTTCTAAATGTTGTTAAATAACCAGAATGCCTTTCTTCAACTAAAAAGAAAATTTGATTAATATACCTCTCTCAAGTAATTCCTCATCTCTTATGATTTTTTTAGACCAAAAAACATATAAGTAATTTTACAATGTTTGAAATTTGTATATATAACTTACACTATTAAAAATATTTTAATAAAACATGTTAAATTACAAATATAAGTAAAATTATAAATATAAGTAAAGTTTAAATAAATTTTTTTATTTTCAGTTTTTATAATTTACGTTAGTTTTATTTATTTAAACATGTCGGATCTAACTGAAAACGTAAATGATTACGATTAATATTAAATTTTTATTATAATTAAAATATTTTAAAATTTTTCCTCTCCTTAATATAGGACTTAATTATTGAATTAATTTTGGTCATAAATATAAGATTTGTTTCTCATAATTATTAATTTTTTTAAATTACCTTTATAGATAGGGAGAATCCCAATTAAATCCAGTCGAAATACCTAAATTCAGATTTAGGCTTGCACTTTTAGCAAATTTCTAATTAAGCCATGAAACCTAATTAGGGATTTCTAAATGTTGTTAAATAACCAGAATGCCTTTCTTCAACTAAAAAGAAAATTTGATTAATATACCTCTCTCAAGTAAGTTCCTCCTCATCTCTTATGATTTTTTTAGACCAAAAAACATATAAGTAATTTTACAATGTTTGAAATTTGTATATATAACTCACACTATTAAAAATATTTTAATAAAACATGTTAAATTACAATATAAGTAAAATTATAAATATAAGTAAAGTTTAAATAAATTTTTTTTATTTTCAGTTTTTATAATTTACGTTAGTTTTATTTATTTAAACAATGTCAGATCTAACTGAAAACGTAAATGATTACAATTTAATATTAAATTTTTATTATAATTAAAATATTTTAAAATTTTAAAATAAAAATTTATTTAAAGATTACTTATACTATAATTTGAAATGTTTTATGAAAATATTTTGAAGATTTTAGTTATATTACAAAATTTCAAACACTAAAAAATTATTTATATTTTTTTGTCTAAATATTAATAATAAGAGATGATGAACCACTTTAGAGGGATAATAATCAATTTTCATTTTTAACTAAAGAGGGGCATTATAGTTATTTAACAATATTCAGCAATTCCTAATTAGGTTTTATGTCCTGATTAAGAATTTGTTAAAAGTGTAGGCCTCAATTTAAATTTAAGTATTTCAGCAAGATTTAATTAGGATTTTTCCTTATAGATATTCCCTCAATCATAATCAAGTAGAAAAGGGAGTGAAAATATTAAGAAAAATGATTATTGTATTTTGAGAAAAATATTTCATATTTCTTATAGTTAAGTTACATACCTAACTTTCTTAATCTAATCAAATTAGTTAAATAGGTTTTATATTAAAGACCAGAGAAATATATTGTATCAACACTAAATATTTTTTTGGTAGCATTTAGTATTTTAAGACTTAAATTGATATTTTGTATATTCAGCATTCTAAAAGATTTTTCTACCAGTAAAGTAATTTTTTATGTAATTTTATTCTTAAATTATTTTTCTTAGTGGCAATGAGTATCCTCAATATCTAAGACATGGAACACTAATAAAAAAAATATTTTTCAAGTGATAGATACACCAAAAATTATTTTATCCGGCATTACCTAAAAAATATTTTAGGGTGCCAAACACACATGCTAGAAAAATATTTAGGATGAGTAATGATATTTAATCTTAAATTAAATTCAAAGTAGTACTCAGTACTTTAATTACATAGTTAAACTCCTTGCTTTTAATGTTGGAAAACTTATTATGATGACACAGTCAACATTAAATGTAAATGTAAAATGATCTGAATCTCATCTAAAACAAACTGGCAGTACGTATCCACCTTTGGTGCTGATCTTTTATTGTTTAATCCAGAATCAGCGCTTGTTTCACAAACTACTTTAGAATTCTCCCCCAAAAAAGAAAAGATTAAAGAAGCTTTTTGCAACAAGGTCTGATAATATTTTTTTTATTGCCCACCTAGTTCACTGGAGTTTTGCTCCGACTACATCTAGATTTGACCTGAGTCGCGCACTTGGCTGTAGTGAGTGAGTCTCCCAACGGGGATTTCTACATACGTTGATGTTCGAATTCGAGACCTCGCTTAAGCAGTACCAAGCCGTTTACCACTTGGACTAACTCCTGTTGGTAGGTCTGATAATATTTAAATCTAATGCGAAATTATTGAAAATTAAACAATTATATTTATTTAAAAAGAAAAAGAAGAGAGTGAGAGAGAAGGAATTAAAGGGATGATAAATGCAGAACGTGGGGAATACGTCGCCGGAGGCAGCTCTAGTGGCGGTCCCAGGGCCGTGCCCTTCGCTCTCGCTTCTCTCACTCTCCTTTTTTAATTTTTCCTTCCATCGCTTCTTTAATTAATTTATCTCTTTTCTTATTTTAAAAAAACCATGCTCCTGTTTAAAAATTTTATTAGCCAAACAAATTTTAATTCAACCACTCGCATTTTCGACGTATGAAATATTACCGGTACTTTGTGTATAAAAACAAATTAAATCTTTTTGTCTAATAAAATTTTCAAACGGAGTGTTTTCACTGATTTTTTTTCATAGGTTTAATATAAAATTTATTTAATTAATTTATAGTAAAGATTAAAAAATCAGATAAATTAGTTATTTAAAAAAAATATCACTCAATCTTTCTAAAATATTCTTACATAACATTTCATAAAAAAAATTATAATTACAAAAAAAAAAAGTAAATTAAGATTTTGTATTTAACATTAATTTTTTTTCTATGCACAGGAATCTTTCTATTTAAGATTACTGTCCCGGGAACTCGATGCAAACTTTTATTTCACATCTCCCAACCGTGTATCTGCGTGCTGCTATCCCAAACCCAACAAAACAAACCAAATTTTAACGTAAACTCTTGTCCCAAATTATATTAATCATGTCCTCAAAACTATGTCCACATTGGAAAATTGTCCAAACCAAACGGCCCTCATTTATTAAAGTATTGGGCCCTCACGTGTCAATTGGGCTTGATTCCAAACAAGTTTTGAACCTCTCTCAAACCTTATGAAGGCTGAGTCTTTCTTTAAAAATAGTCCATAGAAAACTACTATCTTCGATTTTTAATATGAGACCTCATTTAATTTTTATTTTGATTTTAAATATAAGACCTCAATCTTTTGTCTCTCATATTTATCTATTTTTTTCTAAAAGAGTTTTTCTAATAATAATAATAATTCTAGCCAGTACACTTAATTAATAAAGATATTTTACGAAAAACAACAAATATTTATTATAAATAACTAACTTAATTTGTTTTCCTAATCTATTCAAATTAATCAACTAACTGTTGTATTAAAGACCGGAGGTAATACTAGAATTAGCAGCTTCATAGAGAGCCCAACTGCGACCACTGGGAAAAACCGAATAAAATGAAGCTTAGAGTGGAAAAGATTCTAGAAAAGCATTGAAGAGCATGTTGCTAAAATTTTGAGAAACACCCATTATATATATGTGTGTGTGTGTTTCTTTCATTCATGATAACATACAGAAAAGATATGAGGGTACCACAAAGGGTGTGAGAAAAGCAATACATGACTCAAATAATATCAGAAAAAGGTAGGCTGTTGGGGAAGACTTGATTAGAGTGCAATTAATTTTTGCATTAAGAGTTGGAATAAGTTGCTCTCTCAACAGTTGTAAGAACCTACCCTAGTTTGAAAGAAACCCCGCAAAAGGCTTATCTATTAGCAGAAAGAAGAAAATGTTAGTTAGACCTACGAAGTTGGTGATGAAACTGACCCCATTCCTGCACGTACAGTACAGCAAGCAACAGTTACACATGGCCCTGTTTTGAGTAAGCTCACTGAAGGAAGTAGGAGGGGGGGGGGGAAGCTTTCTTGTGTCCTTTTGATGTCTTTATCATATCAGTTAATGATCAAAACCATTACTTAAAACATGGATTATGTCTTCGTCTTTTTGTCTATTTCCCTGAGACGGACAATGTTCGTGTCTCTGTTTTCCATAAAAGAATGAACGGTACACTGTAAGTATCATTTGTGTCTCTGTTTCTTGTTACTCATGACAGAGTGGTAATGAAGGGTTTTAATTTTTTCCCCCCTTCATAAGTTAGTAAGCAGAAATCACTGAACCAATCCATTGGGTTCATGTTTAACAGCAAAATCATGATTTGTTTTCTTAAAAATTAAAAAATGTGTTGTTTGGTTATAAAGGTGAGTGGCAGATCATGACATGTCGCCAAATTCTTCTTGAAACAGCCCACAAGTCATGATTAGATCTGCATATATAAGCATTGCTCTGACCTTTCAAGGCATGAAGATGAGTTTTACCAGCAATAATCATTGTTTTTCTCCCTCTTCTCTCTCTTCCCTTCTTCCACCTTGTCAAGTTTTGTTTTTTGGTGCACATGTCAAACCATTTCTTTGTTTCTAAACCAATTTATTATTCCTCTTCACAAAGCAAGGATTGGATCATTTGATATAAAAATGCTATCTTTTCTTTAATAAGAATATCTTAACCTCAGTTTTCGTTCAATCAGTCAATATACCCAGAACCCCCCCCCCCCGGGGGAGGGATCAATGTGAGAAATTCATCAGAAGTGTTAAATGTTACTTGACTCTGTCACAAAATAACACTCAACCAGATGAGTGTTCATTGACTTTTTGAATAGCCAATCACCACATTGCGTACAACACTCTTTCTCATTTGATTGCGCAGGAAAAGGAATTTTTGCAGAGACTGTAATTCTTGGTTAGTTGCGAGTCATCAAGAACTCATCATGTTTCTGATTGACTTCATCATGAGATGATACTGAACAATGTGTTCAAGCAAAAAAGGACGTAAGCAGAAAACAAAATGGAACTGATGGAAAAATGAGGCATAACAAATTATAAAGCTTCTTACTCAACTCAGAAGTTTTGCTACAAATGAACTGCAAAAAGAATTCCCACAGAGGATTTTTTTAGAAGGAAAAAAAATGAAAAGAATGCAGGGGAAAGAAGAAGAAAGAAAAAAAGAGACAAGATGACTCCAACTCCTACTGAACTCAACACCTAAAATTACTCAGACCTAAAACTCTACCCTTTTGACCTGCATATCTGATATCTGTCTACCCCTTTTTTATCAGCTCTCATTACAATCCTCCTCTAATAGCTAAATATGATCATCATCATCATCAACATCATCATCATCATCTTCATCTATGGGTTCCTATTCCCACCGCCCATTCCGTCCCTGTACAAAAAACCAATGAACAAAGAAATGAAATTTCATAAGTAAACAGATTCATATAACTCTCTCTAGATACGATTTTGGATCATTCCTTCCTCCTTTCTTTCTTCACTTCACATGTATTCCAGGGAAAGGCTGCTGTCAGTGTTTGGAATGAGCTCTGGTGAAGCATCAGTATGTGGTGGTTTGCTTCTCATTTCAAGCACCTTCTTATGGGAATTCGAGTGCAAGGATGGGCAAAATGTCGGACTAGCTGCCGGTCTGTATTCTGGGAATAGCCGGCCGGACTTGTATCGAACCCCACAAGCATTGCAGAGTGTTTTTGGCCCCATTGGACCTGCCCTCCATTGTGGGGTCTTTGTTATCTCACAATGCATACATTTCCTCACTGCTTGTGATGAACCATTCTGCTGATTCACATCAGCAGGACCTAATGGACAAGTAAATTTGATCTTCTTCTTCTTCTTGTGCTCCCCTGAAGATTGCTTAGGTATCTTGATCACCGGATGAGACTCCACGAAATTCTCACAATCTGAATTTCGCTGTGTGTTTTCGCCGACGGAGGATGCAGGGGAAATGAGCTGCATCGCGGGACGGGGCTTGAATGTGGCGGGGCGTGGACGCTTGCTGCGAGCACGCCCGCCACAAGGCACGGGGACGACCATTTCCGGCGGGCTTCGAGGTGGCGCCGCCACCGGCTTCTCCCCTGAACAGGAGCTGCTGCTCTCGAGGACAGAGACGGGGCTTGAAGTCTGGAATTGGTGGTGTCCTGAGTCGTTATTGGTGGTGCAAGATTGCTCCACTTGCTTCATGGTGAGGCTTCCACCAGTGAACGAGTCCTCCACAAAGTTCGAAAGCCATTCCAACTGGACAATGTCTTCATACTGCAATTGCAAAATTTCACTCAGTTAAAATTCTGCTCAGTCTCTAAACAGGAATTTTCATTCTCACCGACAAGTGAGCAAAACCACTCGAAGTGGAGCGAATATATTATAGTTTTGAACCTGAAACTGTAATTTAATGGGAGTGGTGACGAAGAACTCACCGGAACGGAGAGCTCGGCGGAGAGGTCGGAGGTGTTGTTGCCGGAGAAAACAGAGTCGGAGCCAGGCAGGGAGTCGGACTCGCCGGTCCAGATGCTGGGGAAGGCGCTGCAATTCCCGGCGCCAGTGGGTAAAGCGGAGGCGTCGACGTCTTCGGCGGGGAAATCGAGGAGGTCATCAATGTGGTCGAAGAAGCTGCCGCAGTCTAGCTCATCCATGAAATTGGGTCCGATCATCGTCGCTGTTGGTTGTGCGTATGTGAGAATTACTATTAGCCTGAGAGAAAATTACGGAAAAGAGAAACTATGAGAGAGGAAAACGGAAAAAAGATAAAAGCGAGAAGTGTTCCTGTAATTGTGCTTTCTTTTTTTAAAATCGTTTTATCATCACAAGGCGCCCATATCGGAGCGCCATGTCCGAAATGATGAAGCCAGCACATGGAACCGCGTGGCTCACCTTAGCCTCCGCCACAAAAGTAATTTTCAAAAATTCATTTTTTATCAAAATAAAAGAAACCCAATTATGAAGATTTTTTTTTTCCCTCCTTTTTAGCTTAAGAACACAGAAAAAGATAAACCCAGAGGCCAGAGCCAGAATTTCACAGTACTCATTGAAGACCCCAAATGAAAAGGCAGTATGAAGTGAAGGAGACGAGCGAACCTTGTGGTGGAAACCACCGTTGAGCAGAGGGATTTGTGTGTATAAGTTAAAGAAGGTAGAAGGAATGAGAGTCTGGAGAAGTAGGAAGCGAAAGGCAGAAATGAATGTGGATGGAGACAGAGAAGGGAACAGTGAAATGGAGTTGAGTTGCAGAGGTGGGGGGGAGAGGGAGGGAGGAGGAGGGAGGGGGGTTTTGAAAGGAGAGAGGGGAGTGAGAGAGGAATTTAAAAGAGGAGAAGAGGAGAGAGAAATGGTAGGTGAAGGCTCCTTGTTCAATGCTAGCTGTCTTTTACCATGCCATCCCTGTCGTGATGTTGAAGTGTTGTCTCTCTCCTCTCTCTGTCCTCATTACCCACGGGGTCCCTTCCCTGCTTTCACGCATTTTCAGTATATCACCGCGCCACCCTCCCATTTAATCCTCCCCTTCCTTTATCCCCTTCCTCTTGTTTATGCACTACATTACTAAAGTGTCTACCATAAGTACAGTACGTACTATGTATTTATATTTTCGTATCAAATTTGTGATCCCATGTTGCTTAATTGTTATGAAATTGAATTGCTAATGTTTCATTGTGACATTGTGAAGAGTCGAATTTGTAACCTCGTACTTAAATTTAAAAAGTGTTTAGATGGGAATAAAATTATGATTTTAAAAGTGATTTTACGGTACACGAAGTAAATATGTAGAGAAATTTATTTCGAATTATAAAAAAATGCTTTTCAAAAACATTTTTATAACTTTCCAAGTACTCGTTGAGACAATGGCTTGGATTGATTGTACTTGTTCTGTGAAAATTTCCATTCCTAATCTTCTCATTTTGCAGGTATACTAATCCATATTTACTTGGTTAATCCTAACATAATTATCTCGTTCATTTAATTTAATAGTATTTGTTTGTGGGGTTAATTTAGGAGGTTGGAGGCATTTATGGCCGCGAAGGAAGGGGGAAAGGGAGCAGGAGGAGGCGCGTGAGGCACACGGGATTGGAAGGCATGGGATGAGTGGTATTGTGGGGCTTGGGAGGTAACTTGGATGCGGTGGCTACGCGCCTACCTTTTTGCACTGTTGCGTGCCTTTTATGAAGCTTTGTCAAACAAAACAGCTCATTCTTAACATTACATTACAACACGCCCTCCTCTCACTTCCCTCCCTCCGCGCATTGGAATCCTATTTTTCCAAATTTTATTTTATTTAGAGTACCTTTTTCTTTCGTTTTGTGACGAAATCCCAAAATAATATTGGAATTTTCCTCCTCCTTGTTCATACGCCACCGTTTCTTACTATTTTTATCCCTCCCCCTGCTCCCTTGCCACGTCGACGTACCCCTCTACACGTGGCACTTCTCCTGCCCCCTTATTCGGCTCCTATTCACATCCTCAGACACCTCTAACCACTTTGTCAAAAAAAAATTTAAAAAAAAATGATTAAACCATTCATTTTGTCTAAAAGTAAAAAAAAAAATCAAATTCACTTGTATTTAATAAGATACCAAATAGGGATAATTTTAAAAAATACAATTAATATTTTTTTAATTTGATCCAAGAGTTTTCTTTTCAAAATTTATAGAGCAAAGAGTTTTCGTCTCTTCCAACAAATTAGCTTCTAAGCATTCAAAATTATATTATCCTCCTCCCAACATCTCAATCAACAACTTGTTGGTTAATTAATACTTTATTTAATGACTTGTAATAAAAATCATCGGGCTTTTTTTTTTTTTGAAAATACAAGTGGATGTGATTAACAGGAACAATGTATGTATGTGTCTATATATAGAAATAGGACGTAAGTAGCAAAATGCGTGACTTTATTGGAATCATGCACATTGTTCACATAAAAGGGGGGTTGGGGCATGGTGGATTCCCAAGTTGAGAAATGGTGGGTGATTCAAGCTGCAAATATGTAAAGTTATCTTAAAAACGAATAAAATCAGAATCATATATCATTGCCACAATTTGGAATAATGCAACCTAATCCCGTGTTCAAATTTGAAAGTTTTTCCCAATATTATAAATATAACCAACCCCCCCCCCCCAAAAAAAGAAAACAACCCCTCCGTACGATTCTCCTTAATTCACTCTTCTAAACTCTAAAATTGGCCTATATACACCCCCACACATATCATTATAATTATTAATTACTCCTCCGGTCCTTAATATAAGATCTAATTATTAAGTTAGTTCTGGTCCTAAATATAAGATCTATTTCTCATATTTATTAATTTTTTCTAAATTACTCCTATGGATACTCCATCGACCATAATTAAGTAGAAGAAGAAGAGGGAGTATTAAAAAAGATGAGTATGGTATTTTAGAAAAAACGCGTCATATTTCGTATAATTAACTAACTTACCTAACTTTCTTAATCTAATCAAATTAGTTAAATAGGTCTTATATTAAAGATCGGAGGAGTATTAATTATCAAATTTGACGTTTGTATGAAAAAATTATGAATATAACAAGATCAAGACACTTTTTAAAAATTTCTGTTACTCTATTTATTTAATATTTAGGGAGGCGTTCTTCAGTGGTTATTTATCATATAATTAATTTTAATAAATACAGAATTAAATATATGATGTTTCGACCTTATTTATTCATGGATAGTGTGGATGGAAGCAAGTAAAATGTGCTGAATTATGATTCTTTCACGGAATTTATTGTATTGCAAGTTTGATATGTATGCATGAATGATAATTATATAATCTGACAATATATGGCTATAAATAATAAATGTTTGAAATATATATATTTGCATCCGCAGATTAATTATATGAATAATGAATGCAAAAAATATCATATAAGTCTTGACGGGTAGCTAAATTTGGTATCAAGTTTGAAGATAAGGATGGGAAATGAAATGGTCAAGGAGCATTATTATGCATGAAATTTTATTATATTTTGTATAGTTAAATTCCAATTCAAGCTATACTCCAAACTTCAATTCCCTATTAATTGAGCCACCTTCAATTAAGGAGGAAAAAAAAAGAAAAGATGAAAAATTGAGACACATTGAGCACATAAAATAAAAACCCGAAAGCAGAAAAAAAATTACTAATTGTTAATTCTCATTACAACACATTTCAAGTTTTTTTTTTGTCCGGTGTTAAAAGTATAAGTTAGATAATTAATTTATAAATATTATAAAAATTAGTCACTTCTAAAAAAAAATGTGTTTGTTTTCTTAAAATGCTCTTTTTAATCGTTACATTAAAAATTACTCTATTGATTAAAAAACAAAAACTCATTACATATATGTGTAATTCAATATGAAGATTTTTAAAAAAATTATAGATTTAAAATACAAAATAAATTGAGATCTCGTATTTAAAAAAAACAAATCCTGTTATTAATTATTTTTCTTTTGATTTTGCAGGCTTATTGTATTTTATGAATAGAGAAGGAAAACGGGTGAGATAAAATAAAAAGGAAAGGTTAGCACAAAAGTGACGGCACAACTGAAGCGTGTTTGGTATTGGGCCTAACAAAAATGATGGTCCTCGCTCACAATATCTTTCCCTTTTTACTCCTTTTTATTTTTTGAATCATAATAATAATTAAAAAAGTAACAAAAAATTAAATTGACTTGAGTTGTACTCTTTGAATCAATCCCTTCAGAAACACTCTCCCTATCTCTCTCCCACTATAAAAATTTAAAAAAAAAATCTATCTAAAAAGGAGAGGGAGTAGTGTGAGGGAGTGTGTGTGTGGGTGTGCACTATGGCAATCTTTTTTATTATTATTATTATTATTTTTCCTTTAACTAACTTGAGATGCACTCTTTGAATCCCTTTCTTGTAAAAGACTTCTTGTTGTTCTGCTTCAACCAAATTATCATAATAAATAAATAAATATGAGTAACAATAATAATTAGTTCAAAAACCATCTCATTTTTGCAAAGAGTCCAAGTGTTAGGCTTTACTCATTTTAATTGTAACACACAAGCATCCATTTGTCCCCCCTCTTGTTTAATTTGTTGACTAAAAAGTAACATCATGACTTTATTCATTCAATAATCCTACCCCATTTCAATCCATTTTCAAGGCAATCTTTTTTTTTTATATAAAAAAAAGTGACATTTAGAAGGCCTCAGATAGAAATGAAAGGTCATGTACTTAAACCTGCTTGTAATTGTAGACTGTTAGTATCTGTCCCTTTGATTTTTTTTAAAACACCAATACAAAGTGGATACATAGGGAGTTTCTATTATTTTCATCACTTTTTTTCCTCCATCCCCATTGAGCAGGATTACATTTTGAATTAATTGTATAAAGTAAGAAAGGGTTGACATGATTTTGAGAATAGAGGGTAAAATAAGACTGATAAGAAAATAATGCGGGCGATAAATTGAATACTACCTCCAATTTTTAATATAAGAGCTTGTTTGATTTTTATTCTGGTCCTAAATATAAAATCCCAATCCATTTTATTTCTTATATTTATCTTTTTTTTAAAGATAATTCTTATAATAATAGTAGTACTAGTTAATATATTTGATTAATACAGATATTTTAAAAAAAATAATACTTAGTAAACTAATTTTTATATTGAGAAAGAATGGAAGGAGGTAATATTTGAAATAGAATCGAGAACGAAGAAAAACGAGTACGATTGAAGCCATCATCAACGGCAACGAATGATGATGGCCTATCACAGTCTTGGCAGTGCATTTTTCCCCAAACGTGTCTGGGATTTGACGTTTTGACGTTTTGACGTTTCATCCTCTCACGTTGCCCTCTTTTGGCTGCTTTCCAATTCATTCATTTATTTATTTCGGTAATAACAATAAGTGGATGGAAGCCGCGATATAAGGCAGAGCAACACTACAAAGTCTTCTTTTGTTTTCATTAGTATTTTTCAACACGCTTCTACGCACACAATACAGTCGTTTTGTACCTGTTTTGTTTTGACTTCACATGCCATGTTCGGTGTTCAATTCCCAGCAAACCTTCTCAGTTTGTTTTTTTTTTATTATTATTATCTTAAAGATGTTTTTATTTGATTAAGAAAATTAAATTTAAATCAGATGAAAATAACAGTTAAAAAAAAAACAACAATGGTTTTGTTATTCAAATTCCCCATATTTTCACCTCATATGACCATGGAATGGCTAGGACTTAGGACTTTACTTTGACAGGTCAATATATCCCATTCCGAATTCTAGCAT